TTACATATACCCAAATCAAACATATGCATATGATTATAAATTCATGTATTCTAATATACGAAATAGACTCGTCGCAAGTCTTATTTCCATTAAACATCATAAATTAACTTGTATGCACTCACCTTGGCCTCACTACGTTCCAATCCACTTTTATGATTTTCCTCTCTTTCGATCGAATCTTAACTTGATAATCGTTCCGGAACTTGTTCGTGCTCGATATTTATATAATCATATATTGATACATATCAGTATCCAATTGATGTATTCTAATATATCATTTCTTAGGTTAAAATAAAGCCATTTTCATATTTTAATAAAGGTATGCATCAATCCACTCTATAGTGTATCGATGCATTCTTTATCGTGTGCATCGATGCACTACCTGTACATCGGTACACAATTCACCTTCGATGTTTTATTCTTAAGAGGATGCATCGATGCACTCCTTATGCATCGATGCACTAATTGCATTCGATGTTCATTTATTTGAAAGTGCATCGATACACATTGAATATGCATCGATACACTTTGCCCAGAATTTGTATTTTACACCTGAAAATCCTTAACTATTCCTTCAATTCTTCTATTTTAAGCCCCTATAATGTCATTAAACTCAACTACCATTACTTAAACCAACTTGTATTCATATAAACCATCTCTATCTTCCATATCTCATCATGATTCTTAAAATTAAAAATCTTACTAAACTTTCAACTTTGTTATTAATCCTTTCTAACTTCATAAATCTCTTATTCTTAGTGATGACAAGTCAAATTCTTTCTCAAATTTCACTTATTAACTCTTTTCCAGAAATTCATCTAAAACCTCATTTTCTTTAATCTCTTTTATATCTTTCATCTTGTTATTTTAGAACAAATTAAGCTTTCCTTAAGGTTAATTATCATCTAATGATCATAACCCAACCTTAGAATCAATAATTAATCAACAAGCAAAGAAACTCACCTTTGAGCTTGGAGATACGGGAGGAGGAGGAAGAAGAAAGAAAACTCTGGAGAATTCTCTCCTTTCCCACGTGGTTCCCTTATCTTATAAAAGGAATGTAAAAATTCTCCTTGTCAAATGACCATTTTGCCCTTTAATTCCATTAATAATTACTAACAACTTTTAGGAAATATTTTCAGATAAATCATTGAACTATTCAATTATTCTACTTTAATCACCAAATTCCGAAATATTAAATTTTGGTCACTAACCCAGTATTGAGGATGTTATAATAACACTTTTGGACCACATTTCCAAACCATCCACACAACTGGCATTGAGGACGATTATGATTACGCCCTCGACCTCAACCACGATAGCCATTTGACTGACCACGAGATAAATGACCATGTGATAACCTAGTATTAGTATCTTGAGTTCCACAAGAATCAATTTCAGTAGCATCACCTTTTTGAGAATGAAGAACAAGATTTGCAGAAAAGCCTTCACTCAAGAACAACTTCTGTCGAGCCTCGCAATCTAATAACATTTCAGTAAGAACATCAAGAGAAAAGTTTTCTCGTGACACAATTGCAATAATGGATTCAAACTCCATTGTAAGCCCAACTAACACAACATTAACATGCTCTTGCTTAGTAACCACACTACCCGAAGCATTCAACAAGTCACAGATGGACTTGACCTTAGCAAGATATTCCTTAATCGTCAAACCAGTCTTTCACTGGGAAAGAAGACTATGCCAGAGAAAATAAATCTTAGCACTGGAGCGAGCACCAAATAGACGAGATATAGTATTCCAAATTGACATCGCTGTTGTGAGCCCAGTCAAGTGAGGAAAAACCTCTGTACTCACAGTAGTTAAAAGCCAAGAAGCAAGTAGTTTATCTTGCAGGCGATGAGCTGCAAAAACTGGATTATCTTCAACCTGGCCAGATGCATTAGTAATGAATTCATCTGGTGCAACAGAACCTACCGAGATGAACCTCAGCAACCCATAGACATCAATTATCAAAGCCACTTGATGCTTCTAAAGAAGATAGGTGGATTCAGTGAGTTTAACAGTATCATGCTTTGGTATGTGTTGAATGCCAAACATACCTCGAGAAGCTCTTGGACTTAGGGAATAAGCATTCGGGAACACATCCTCAGGATCACGAGTGGGATCAATCGTCAAATCGACCATGACGCCAAGAATCACACACGATATGAGAACTTAAACTTGTGCAGCTACTAGAATGAGGAAGAAACAACGGAAGAAACACACCCAGGTATTGGCGAAAGATACCATGATAAGATAGCACTTGAGCTATCTAAGAAAACAAGAAAGGAACTAAAATCTTTATAATCCTTTTATTAACAAGAAGCTTACTTCTCTTGAGTTAGAGAGTAACTATTATACAAACAATAAGAGAAATATCTGCTGTATAACAAACTGTTAACAGCTCTCAACAGCTTAAATGCTTGTAACAACAAGCTAACAAACTATTCTAGAACTCACACAACACATGCATAGGCACGTGTTCATAACACTAACAGGCTGAAACTGAGAAGCCATGTTCCTTCACAATCACGCAACACACCTCCTTCAAAGTTATAGAGTAGGTTATCAGAAGCAGCTCCATATTGTTTTAGGCTAACCCATCCATGATATGGTTTCATCCATTGAATAGCTTGAGGAAGGCACGAAGATGGAACAAGACTTGGATTAGAGTTATCAAAAAAGTACTTAGCCCAAGCAGCAATAATAGAAAGAGATACGCTTATTGTGGAGCAACTTTGGGTAAAGACAAAATCATTTCTTCGCTTCTAGAGCTGCCATATAAGAGAAACAAAAAGATGTTGTCATTGACAAGACCATTTGTTTTGATAAGTGACTAGATGGAGGTTCTGAAGGATCCAATATCTCAAGTCAAGAAGAAAGAAACTCGAAAGCCAGTTTAGTGGGAAAATCCTAAGCCACAATTGCTTGATCTCAACATAATCTCTTAGAATATGCAAAATAGATTCATGTTTACCACAAAAGGAACAAGATATATCAGAAGAAAGCCGACACCGAAAACGATCTATGTTTGTCATAAGTCTGCCATAAAGGAGAGACTAAAGGAAGACGCGAATACGTTGGGGGCTTGGGTGCTCCAATTATCCTTCTAGATACTACTGCGGCTCAACACAAGATAGAGATGTGGTGGCGTTATAAGTTGACATGATAATGAATTGATGCTTCGAGCCTTACCTCCAGACGCAACTGTCATTTTCATTGCCATTTTGAGGGGAAAGTAGACCAAGAACATAGGGGGTAGCATCTTGATTGAGCAAAGAAGTGAGAATAGTCGTGTTCCATTTACCATTGGCAGTCACGAGATCAACGAAAGAGTAATTTGGAATTTCTTGAATTGAGCTTCGAAGGTGATTACATAGGGCACCCAGGCTCAGTATCCATATGTTGTCCCATATTTATATAAGGGAACCATTCCCGACTGACAATGTAACATTTGTGCGAAAGGAATCCCAGATTTTAGAGAGGCATCGCTAGAGAGAGGAGTAAATGTTTATTTGGAGTGACAAATGAAGGAGTTCATGGACATTGTATTTGTCAAGAAGAAATCAGATCAAAAAATTATCAAGTTTGTTGGTTAGAGCGTAACAAATTTTCATGAAGAAAATATGATTTTGCTCCCGTATGCGCCGTATTCTGAGACTGCCACAATCAATAGGTTGACATAAAGTCTCTCAATTAATAAGGGAGTATGGTGATTTCTCAAACCCCATATGAATTGATAGATCAACTATTCAATACAATCACAAATACCAACCGACAACATGGACGTTTGCATTAAGTAAATAGGGATGAAAGTGAGAAACAATTTTGCCAAGGTGATACGACCAACAATTGACTTATTTGAAGCCAAGCCGATCACTGATAACATCTTTCATCGTTTGGCTCGAGTTGAGAGAAAAGAATACCGTAGTTTACCTCTATTCACTTTATGGCTTGAATAGTGACCAAAGCATGAAAGGCAGGAGTTGATGATGTTGGCATTATTGATGTCAGCATGGGCATAGAAAAAAATCATCGGAGAAGAAGAGATACTATATAAGAGAATCGTTCTTAACGAAATGAAATTGCTTCCAAATTTTTTATTAATAGAGTCACCAATGCAATGTCCCAGCCTGTCTATATCAAGGAAAAAAAGGAAAGAGATAGAGGATCGCTTTGCTGAATGCCACGTTACGGTCTAAAAGACTCAAGAAGCTCACTATTCCATTGTACCTGAAATAAGGAAGAATATATGTAGTGCATGATGATATGCGATAAATTCGGAGGGAATCCTACATCATATAGAGAGTCACATATGAAATCCCAATGAAGTCTGTCAAATTCTTTCTCCAAATCAACTTTGATGGCCATCCAACCCTTTCTGCTTTTTAATTGACGTATAGAGTGAATTACCTCTTGATTCATAATGATATTTTTGGTGATAGAGTGACAAAAAATAAAGATGGTTTGTTTTGGTGAGATAATTTTAGACATGATGGGCTTTAGGCGATGCACAATAATTTTAGTGAGCAGTTTATAGATTACAATACAGAGGCTGATTGGACAAAAATGAAGGAAAGATTTCAGATTATCAACGTTCGGGTCAAGCATAATAACGGTCTTATTCGGGTTAGGTTTAATGACTCCACCATGAAAAATGGTTGGATTCAAGCACTGATAGAATTACCAACAATACCTTATTATTTTTTGGAAGAATCCAACATGGAGACTGTCATATCCCGGGGCTTTAAGGGGGCCATCTCATTCAAAGCCGGTCTAATTTCCTCCAGAGTAGGAATTTGATCCAAGGAGGACCACATAAATCAATCAATTAGTGGGAAGTTTCCTTGAAAAGGGTAAGCACCAATAACTTGATAATCAAAAGAAAAAACCTTCAAAAGTGGCGAACAACTTCAGCTTTGAGAGATTGTTGATCATCAATCCATTCTTCATTAATTTTAAATGATAAAATAGGGTTGTCTTGGCTTTGCGATGAAAGAAACTAGTGTTTCGATCGCCAAAGACAATCCAGTAAGCTCGCAAGTGTTGATGCCATAAGAGTTTCTCTTGATCAACCAGGGATTCCAATTCACTGAGAAGGGTCGATTCCAAATCATGAAGAGAAGGGGAGTAACGAGATTACAAATCTTTTTGCACTCCCTACAAACACACCATAACTATCCTTTTCTTGGAGCCAATAAAGCCATAGACATATTTATTGCAACCATTGACAACCTTAGTGAAATTTGCAATAGACTCAATAAGGCTCCCGTCATTTAACCAGTTATCCTGAATCATGCAAGGGAAGTCATCATGCATGTGCCAACCTATGAAATAGCAAAATTGTTGGGGTCTGGAGTAATGATGGTAGCGACCAATTTGGAGGAGGATAGGCCGATGATCTGATCGCATTAAAAAAAATATGATGTAGATTAGAGTCGAGAAAGAACTCATCCCAATGTCTATTACAAAGAGCTCGATCAAGATGAGCATGAGTTGGCCACAATACCAAGTAAAAGCGGGACCTTGAACCCCAATATCTCAAAACTCAGAATTCATAATAAAATCTTAAAAATCAGTGCACATACCTGTAGCACCGGTCCAACCCATACGGTCGGTAGAAATTAGAGTTGGATTGAAATCTCCTAGGAGGATCCATGGTTGGCGAATTACAGGAGCTAGATGTCGTAGATAGTGCCAAATGAGCTTTCGTTTAGAAGTATTAAGGCTTTTATAAGTAACTGAAGCAAGGAAAACTTGATTGTTGTGTTTGTGAGTAATGCGACAATGAATAAATTGGAAATGATTGTAAATGATATCAACCAAAATAAAATCATACCAACAAAGCCAGATTCCGCCAAAAAACCCCCACGGCTTCAACATAATAAGAGTTTGGAAATCCTAGGGCAGAGATGACTGAATCTACTTTCTGACAACTAATCCGGGGTTCGGTTCAAGAAGGCCAATTATATCATGCTTATAATCGCGTATATACTACTTAATGACTTTATGAAAATGAGGATGTCCACCACCTTGAATGTTCCAGTAAAAGAGTTGTATATTCATTATCAAGAATAGGGAAAACAAATGAGGAGCAACTCAATCTGACATGGGAGCATTTAGCCCCTCATCGTGAATACCATTGCTACCTACATCTATAGGATCCATATTCAAAATTGAAGCAGAAATTGGTTTTGTCACCAATATAGGGGGACGATTGTGATTGCCTAGATTAGAAGGTTCGTAAGAACGACTATCGCCTAGGCACACATCTGCTTGGATAATATGGCCACTCAGGGTAGGGATATTAGGATCCATATTCTCATAAATAACAATAGAGAAGTGTTTGGCTTTATCAAGCGTTACCTACTTGTAATGAGAAGAAGAGCAAGCACTCGCTTTGAGATGAGTTGTAGATTGACGGTGGGATGACAGGTTTAAGGTCGAAAGGGAAATTGATTTTTTCATGGTAATCATTCCTTTTTGTTTGCTTGTCTTGGAGTGATCATGTGCATTTTCTTTCCTTATACCTTTGGAAGTAACCAAATTATCTTGTCAAGTGGGGGGAGGAATATTAGAAGATGAGATTTAACCTCATGGGCGACTGGTGGTTTGGTATTTAGAAATGGCACAAGAGGAAAGAGTTATGTTTGATCAGAAAAGACAATCAAAGAGATCAAGAGGATCATCCTCATCTTAATATAAAAGAGGTCGAGGTTTAGGATATCAATATCAAAGTAAATAAGAAGTCGGTGCTTCTATTCGTAGAGGATCTGAGGCTAAGGAAAAAATGCGTCAGGCACACACAGTTACTACATGAGCTGACAGATCATCTCAGTCTCAAGGACAACACCCATTATGTCCACGGTATGGAAAGTATCATCATGGTGAACGTAAAGAAGGATTAAGAGTTTGTTTCTGATGTAGAGACCCTGATCATTATATTAGAGACTGCCTGATGGCCGGAGAGATATGTTCAAATAGAGTGATCAGTGGTAATGCCTCAGAAAGGTGGTCGAGGCAGAGGTAGAGGAAGGGGATATTCAAAGATAACCTCTCAATCCGATTTTTGTGCTCCATCCAGGATTTATAATATCATGACCAATAAGGATCGTGACGACCCAGAAATCATAGCAGGTACTTTCTATCTTTATGATGAGCCTATTTTTGTTTTGGTTGATCCGGGTTCTACGTATTCCTATATTAGCTCAGAATTAGTTAAAATAAAAATATTCAGCTATAACCCATCAATAGTGAAATAATAGTTGTAAATACACTAGATCATATTGCTAGAGTTACACGGATTAATAGAAATTTTCCGATAAAGATTCAAGGGGTTGTCATCCCGAAGAATCTTTTAGAGTTATCATTTGACGAGTTTAAGATTATATTGGGCATAGATTGGTTATCTCATCATTATGGTTGGGTAGATTGCTGCGTGAAGCGATTACTTATAAAGGATATAGAGGGTACTGAAATAATAGTAATTGAAGAAAAAGCGAAATCATTGCCCAATATAATATCAACAATGACATCAACAAAAATGATGGAAAAAGGCTGTACAACTTTCTTAGCAAATGTGATTGATACCCGTACATCTAAAATTCGATTGGAGGATATTGCAATAATTCGATAATTTCCTGATGATTTACCCATATTACCTCCTGATTGAGAAGTGGAGTTTAAAATTGATGTTTTCCTGGGTACTGCACCTATCTCAATGGCTCCATACAGGATGGCTCCAACGGAACTCAGAGAATTAAATGTGCAATTACAGGAGCTACTTGATCGAGGTTTTATTAGACCGAGTGTATCTCCATGGGGTGCACCGTTACTTTTTGTTAAAAAGAAAGATGGATCATTGTGATTATGCATAGATTATCGTAAACTGAATAAAGTGAAAGTGAAGATTAAATACCCTCTCCCGATGATCAATGATCTGTTTGATTAGCTCAAGGGTGCTTCAGTATTTTCGAAAATTAATCTTCGATCAGGGTATCATCAGCTAAAGATAAAGGAGGAAAATATTCCAAAGACGACTTTCAGAACCCGATATGGTCATTATGAGTTTGTCGTGATATCGTTTGGTTTGACCAATGCTCCAGCAACGTTTATGGATTTGATGAATTGGGTGTTTCAGACGTATTTGGATCAATTTCCGGTTGTGTTCATTGATGATATTTTGGTGTATTCTAAGACTAATGAGGAGCATGACACACATATCTATATCGTACTAAAGACGTTGTGATATAAAAGGTTATATGCTAAATTGTCAAAATGTGAATTTTGGCTATCTGAGATGGCTTTTCTGGGGCACGTGATTTTAGAAGAAGGAATTAAAGTAGATCCCAAGAAATTGCAAGCTATAGTGGAGCGGAAACCTCTGAAAAATGTCTATGAAGTCCGAAGTTTCTTGGGATTAGTTGGATATTTTCGGAGATTTGTGAAGAATTTCAATAATTGCATCTCCACTTACCAAGCTACTCCAAAAGGATATACCATTTGTCTGGATTGAAAAGTGTCAAGAAAGCTTTGATATACTTAAAAAGATTCTGATAGAGGCCCTAGTATTAATGCAGCCAGAGTCAGGAAAGGATTATGTAAACTACAATGATGCGTCCCATAATGGTTTGGGATGTGTTCTAATGCAAGAAGGTAAAGTGGTAGCCTATGCTTCAAGGTAGTTAAAGGCACACGAACAAAATTATTCGACGCATGATTTGGAGCAAGCAGTTGTAGTGTTTGCTATGAAGATATGACATCACTATTTATATGGTGAGCGATGTTACATTTATAAGATTATAAGAGTTTAAAATATTTGCTCACTCGAAAAGAATGAAATCTAAGGCAAAGGAGATGGATTGAGCTTCTCAAAGACTATGATATGATTATTGATTACCATCTTGGTAAGGCTAATGTGGTAGCCGACGCACTTAGAGCGTTAGATGCACGACTATCAATGGAAAAAATGGTGCATTAATTGAAGAATTGAGATTGAGACCTACCTTATTAGATTGAATCAAGGAACTCCAGAATAAAGATAAGAAGTGTATATAGAATGGAGTAAGCATATAAAGGAAAAATGAAAGATTTTGAAATTAAGTCTGATGGATTTTGTATTATCGGAATCGAATTTGCCTACCAGATGATGATGAAGTAAAGAAAGATCTTCTATTTGAAGCTCATTATAGTCCTTTGACTATGCATATAGGAGGAAATAAAATGTATCAAGATTTGAAGAGTCGATATTGGTGGGCATGTATGAAAAGAGCTATCACTGAGTTTGTTTCTAAATGTCTAACCTGTCAGCAGGTAAAAGCAGAACACCAAGTACATTCGGAGTTGTTGTAACCTATCTCCATCCCTCAATGGAAATGGGAATGTGTTACCATGGATTTTGTGACATGTAACATCGTCAATACCGAGTTAGTGACCAAATTTTAAAACTTCAGAATTTATTGACTAAAGTAGATAAATTGAATAGTTCAGGGACTTGTATGAAAAATCCTATATAGGATTGAATTGCAAAGAATGATGGATAGAATGTCAAAATGGTCATTTAATCAATTATTGATTTAAAAATGAGATATGGAATAGATATATACACGTGAAGATGGGAAGAAAAGGGAAAGGAAATATCCAGAGAGCTCTTCTTCTTCTTCTTCTCCTAGTCTTGAGTTACCATAACAAAGGTGAGTTTTCTTGTGAGTTGATTATTGGTTAAAAATTAAGTTTGGTTTTTGATCCTTAGATGATACTTAAGCTTAAGAAAAGCTTAAGTTATCTTAAAACTATAACATGAACGAATTAGTAGGGATTAAAGATAAGGAGTTTCTAAATGAAATCTTGGAAAATAGTTGATAATTAGAATTTGAAACTAAATTTGACTTGTCATTAGTTGAAATAAGAAATATGAAGTGTTAGAATGAAAATTAGAACATGTTAGAAATTTGGTAGGATTCTTAAATTCAAGATAGAGGAGAAGATTTTGAAGATAAAGATGTGTTAGATGAATAAAATTGGTTTGAGTATGTGTTGTTGAGTCAAGAGTATAACAAGGAATAAGAAATGAAGGTTTTGAGCTGATAAGGGTAAATTTTCAAGTTTAAAAAGAGAAATCTAGGTTATGGGTATCGGTACTGCTTCATCCAGTACCGATACTTCAAGAGTAAAATAATGATTTTTGGTATAGGGGTATCAATACTGGTCTAACAATATCAATACCATAAGTCTGAATTTGTCAAAGGCATTCATGAGGTATCGATACTTGGAAGGTAGTATCGATACCATAAGGTCAGTATCTGTACCATTTTTGAAACGAGGATAACATAATGCAAAGTGGGTACCGATACCCAGGCTTGGTATCGATACCCTATAGGAGGTACCGATACTACTCCAAGTAGAAAATAGAATTAAGCCTTTCTTTTGGTCTAAGAAATTAAGGATAAAATTATAATATTAGAATACTAATATGTATATAATATGTATGATCGTGTAGATATCGAGCACAAGCAAGTTCTGGAATGACCACAGAGTTAGGATCGATCCAAAGAGATAAAATCATAGATGTGGATTTGGAATTTAAGTGAGGCTAAGGTGAGTGCATACTATAGGTATAGTTCAATGGAAATAAGACTCGTGATACGTCTATTTCCTATTTTAGTCTTCATGGTCCAATAGTTATGAACATGCATATATTATGATCATTACAAAAACATGCATGAGATATATATGTTTATATGATTTGATACATAATATATGATTCATGTGAACATATTTAAATAACATATGTTATATGATGAGATTGGTGGTCATATGTAGATGTGATATGTGGAAGAAGAGAAGAAATATGTGATTATGAGAGAAATGAAATGTGTACATGATTATGTGGTGAAATTATGGTTATATGAATGTATAAAATATAATGATAATGCCCATGTTATGTGATATGAGAGCTATAGGTGTAGTTGGCATGCCAAGAGTCGAGGGTTACATAGGTCATTCGGGACATATGCATAGGTCCTTCGGGACATATGCATAGGTCCTTCGGGACATAGATTTTACATACCAGTCAGTGGATCCTTATACAAGTTATGGTGACAGTATATGTGTACAACCTCAAAGTACTCGCATACCTTCAGTTCTCAGTAATGTACATAGGCTTATAAAATATATAAGGAGTATTTAAAGGATTATATGCTATCATATTATTATTGTTTACACTGAATCATATATGACATGATTGAATTATGATATAATAAGTATGTTTGTATTTGCATAATCAGAATTGCATGTTCATATTCATAGTAAAATGTATTGTTTTATATTTTATGCCTCACTAAGTCTATAACTTTGCGTGTAAGTGTTTTACACGTACGTACTGATAACCAAGAGGATCAGGCTTAGGACTTGCAGAACGATATACCTCAACTCGAAGATTAGATCGGAAAGACTTTGCAAAGTATGTCTTTTTATGTAATAGATATGTTGGCATGTAAACAAAGTCGTGAAATATGTAGGATCTGATCAATTTTGTAATGTTTTGAACATATTTATGTAAATGGTTAACTTTATATTAATGAAAGTTTAAATTTTCTATGGTTTTTATAAATATACATGTTTGAATAGTTAATGTGACACCTCATATTCGTATTCGGATTGGGTACGGGTTGGGGGTGTTATATTTAATGGTATCAGAGCTATGGTTTAGCCGATTCTAGGCATAAACCGGAGTCTAAAGTGTCTTTAAATGTGTACATGCTAACATAATAGTTAGAACTTCTGATTTGATAAGAGTAATGAGTATGTTGTTTTGCTAATAGAACTATATGGTTATATCTTATTAGATGTCCAGAAAAGATAGCTCCCAAAGTGAAGTGGGAGATGATAGACCAGTTGAGAGTAGTAATTCGCCTGCCCTGGCCAGACAAGGTAAAGGAC